CTAACAGGTCCATGCCCCATTGGGCGAAAGGCCAGGCCCCTACATTGCCTTGCATGGGCGCCGCCGGGACATGAATGTCGTTTGCATGAATTTGGCACTGGTGACAGGCGCCCACGTGTGCCCTTGCGTCCCGCCTCATCGTTGGCCAGTAATAACCTTGTCGCAGCAGCGTTTTTTCCAAACTGCGCGCCCCCGCGTGCATTCCGCACGTACCGCTGTGCACCTCTTCGATTGCCCCTCTGCTTTCCTCCTCATTTAGACACCTCAAATATGCGCCCGAATGGGACCTCTTATACAACGTTCCTTCAATCATGGAGCAGCGGGCCGCCTTTCGACGGAGGCGCCAGGCCTCCTTTGGGTCCTCCGGCACCGTTCCTTGGGTCAAGAATAATATGATCGGTGCCATCCACCCTGAGCCGGCACCCTCGTCCCCCAAGATTGCGACCACATATTGGCGGGGCACTTCCGCAGTGACAATGACCTTCCGATCCTCCGCAAACTCTACCGCGGTGGCCAATTTGGATAGGGCGTCTGCATGCGCGTTTTCCTCACGCGGGATGTGTATGAAAGAGATTTCCCCAAACCAGGCTCCCAGCTCCCTGACCCTTTGCACGTATACTTCTAGCGCTTCCTCCTTTACTTCGAATGCTCCGTTAAGTTGGTTGACGACGAGGGCCGAGTCGGACTTGACCTGGATTTTGTGGGCGCCCAGCTCTTTAGCCATGGTCAGGCCAGCGATCACCGCCTCATACTCTGCAGCGTTGTTTGTTTTCAAGGTGGCGAATCGCAGTGCTACCTCGTGCATCGCACCTCCCGGACTTATCATCACAATTCCTGCTCCGGCGCCCGTTCTGCTGGCCGCACCATCGACTTGGACTTGCCAGCAGTCATCTGTCTCCTTCTCGGTCTCAGCTATTCCTTCCACTACAAAGTCGGCCAGGACTTGGCCCTTGATGGCTGGTCGAGGCGCATATCTGACATCGAACTCGCTTAGCTGAACTGCCCACTTGACGAGGCGCCCGGCCACATCCATTGACCCCAACGTGGATTTCAGAGGGAGGTTGGTAAGGACTGTGACGGTGTGAGCTTGGAAGTAAGGTCTAAGCTTGGTTGCAGCCATCACAACCGCCAGCGCGGCCTTCTCAATGGGCGCGTATCGCCTTTCGTGGGGAACCATAGTGCGACTGACGTAGTACACCGGTCTGTCCTCTCCAGAGTGGGCGCCTCTTGTGACGAGCACTGCACTTACCGACACCTCCGACACAGCAATGTACAGGTATAGTGGCTCTCCCGCCCTAGGCGCCGTCATCACGGTTGGGGCGCTTAATAGTTGCTTCAACTCCTCGAATGCTCCATCACACTCGGTGGTCCATTGGAAACGGGCTGCCTTTTTAAGCGTTCGAAAGAAAGGGGCGGCCCTGTCCGCGGACCGGGGGATGAAGCGCCCCAATGCTGCCAGCCTGCCCGCCAGGCCTTGCACTTCCTTGGGCGTCTTTGGGGGGGTCAGCTTAAGGATCGCATCCACTTGCTTCGGGTTGGCCTCTATACCTCTTTTGGTGATCATAAATCCCAGAAATTTTCCCGCTTCGGCGCCGAATACGCACTTGAGGGGGTTTAGCTGGAGCCTATGCGCCCTCATGGCCTGGAATGTCTCTCGCAAGTCTCCAATGTGGTCTTCCCGTTTCCGACTCTTGACTATGAGGTCGTCCACGTAAGCTTCCACATTCCGGCCAATTTGCTGCTGGAAGACGTTGTTGACCATTCTTTGGTAGGTGGCGCCCGCATTCTTGAGCCCAAAGGCCATGACCCGATAGCAGAAATTTCCGAAAGGCGTCATGAACGCCATCTTGGGCCGATCTTCCTCTGCCATGGGGATTTGATGGTATCCTGAAAACATGTCCACGAAGCTCAGCATCTCGTGGTATGCCGTGGAGTCCACCAGCAAATCTATCCGTGGCATTGGGTAGGCGTCCGTTGGGCACGCCTTGTTGAGGCTCGTGTAATCCACGCACATCCTCCAGTCGCCCGACGGCTTGGGCACGAACACCACATTCGACAGCCAGGTAACATACGAAGTTTCTTCCACCAAATTGGCGCCCATAAGCTTGTCCACCTCAACCCTTAGGGCTGCCTCTTTTTCCGGCGATAAGTTCCTGCGCTTCTGTTGCACAGGACGTCTCCCTTCCTCAACCGCTAATCTGTGCACTGCTGTTTCGGGTTTGACGCCCGGCATTTCCATGGCACTCCAAGCGAAAAGCTCTGCGAACTCTTTTAGAAGCGCGATGAGCCGCTCCTTCATCTCAGCAGGCGCCTCTGCCGAGATCCTAACGCACCTTTCTGGGCGCCCTTCCTCCAACGCTATCAAAAGGTCCTCGTCGGCTGCTTCGGCTCGGGGCGCCTCGTCTTCTCCTACCTCAATTACATTGATTCTCGCATCGACGTGCCTTCGCTTGCGCCCTGTCTCCTTCGCGTAACGCGGGGCGCCTCGCCCTCGGGCCACGCCCACCCCTTGCGGGGCAATGAATTTCAAGGTCTGATGACAAGTGGAGGCCACCCCATTAAACAAAGCCAGGAGCGGCCTCCCAAGGATCGCATTGTATGGGGAAGGGCAGTCCACTATCCCAAAATCTATGGCGCGCGTCACCCTTTGATCTCCATCTCCCAACGTGACGGGCAGGCATACCCGCCCAATCACTCTGGCAGGCGCCCCCGAAAAGCCTACTAGTACCGACTCCGATGGTCTGATCATCTCTGGAGATAGTTGCATGCGAACCACCGTATCCTTGAACAGCACATCCATGGAGCTTCCTGTATCTACCAACATTCTCCTTACCCTGCACCCGGCTACTACCCCTTGTATCTCCAAGGCGTCCATGGACGGGAGCATACACGCCTCCTCAGGCGCCTTGTTGAAGCTAATGTCGATCGACTCCTGCACATCTGCCGATGCCGCCCTCAACCGACGCTTTGCTTCTATTTTCTCCCTCAGATCCATTGTCCCTGAAATGGCTTCGATCGTCAGGCGCACGCGGTCAGGCGCCTTTTCTTGGTCCAAGTCATAGGGTGGCGGTGGCAGCTCCCCCCCTGTTCTCACTACTCCAGCCACACACGCCCTATGCACTCTTTCCTCGGGCTTTCTGATGAAGTCATTGAGCATTCCCCTGTCCGCAAGACCCTGCAGCTCTGTCTTAAGTTGGTAGCAATCAGCTGTGTAGTGCCCAATCTCACGGTGGAAGTCGCAGTACCGGTCCAAGTTCCGCTCGTTGGGTTGCCCCCGCATCGGCCCTGGCCACCTGATGTGGTATCCCTTGTCCTTGACGTGCTGGAGCACATTCTTCAGGGTGTCGTTATACTCGGCGAAGGGCCCTGCCCCTCTAGGCGCCTGGCGCCCCATATCGTTTCTCCTTGGCGGTGGCTGGCTCGTGGGCGCATAGCCCGAACCGCTCGTTGGGTACTGCCTCCTCGGTACCTCGATCTCCTCTACTCGTGCCTTCCTTCGATCTGCCCTCCTGGCTGCCAATGTCTCCTCCAGCACAATTACCTTTTGCACCCTATAATCCAGGTCTTCTGTGGACACCACATCTCTCTTCGCAAGCGCTCTGCACAACTCCTCACTGGAGGTGCACTCATTAAGACACACCCCCAGCACCGACGGCTGGGCATCCTTCACTGCTAGAGCCACAGATAGCCATCTCTCGTAAAATTCCCGTAACGCCTCTCCCTCTTTCTGCTTGACTTTAAACAAGGCGCCTATGGTCAAGGAGCGCCTTTTTCTGCTGGCAAACTTCGCCAAGAACATTGCTGCGAACTGTTCGAAGCAGTCGATGCGCCCCTCACCGATCTGATGATACCAATCGAGAACCACGCCCGAAAAGGTGGACGGAAACACCTTGCACAGGGTGGCATCTGTGCTGTTATAGAGTTGCATTTTGGTGAAATATCCGTTGAGGTGGTCCTCGGGGTCTCCAGTCCCGTCATAAGCTGGGAGTGGGGGAATGTTGGTTCCGGCTGGCTCCGATAATATGCAACGCGCCAGAGGCTGTCTCACAGGACAGTGGCGTGAAAGGCGCCCCAATATTCCTCCATTCCACCCACTATCGTCCGGCGCCCCGTGATCACGTGGGCGCCACAGGCCGGGACGCCTCGGGCACCCCGATTCAATCTCCGTCTCTTCCGCCCTTTCTCTTTTCTTCGTCGGGCTGGGTGTCATCCCTTCACCCCTTCTCAAGGCGTCCACCTCACGCCGCAGCGCCTCGATTGCCTCATCTTGGTTCTCAATGATCCGGAACAATTCTTTTTTCGTGACTGAGACGCCTTCGGATCCCCGCAACGTGCCTTCACTTCCTTCACCTTCTTCCTCTTCGGGTGTCCGCCCTCTCATTCGCTCCGACTGTTCTTCCGTAATTTCTTCCCTTTCTTCGATCATGGGCGCCTCTTCACTCATGGCTCCTGGCTATACTCCCCTATCTGGCGCGCCAATTGTTTGAGACTTGATACCCTTTGCCTGATTCTCCTGAGTCCTCCTTCGTCAGGCGCCTATCTGCACACACTAACAAAGAGGGGGCGCCTTGGCCCGTTAATCCTCCGACGCCCAAGTCAGTTTCCAGGAGGAGAGTGGAGTCTCAAAGCTAGAATTAGTGTGTCCGGTCCAACCTGCGTATATACTACCAACTGCCTCTATTTATACTTACCTGAGTTCGAGGTTGATCCTCTCTGCCTCTCTGCCCTCATTCAATGCTTTTGTCTCTTTCTGGCCAGACATCCTAACCACCTTGTCAGACTCCTGACACGTGACAGACGCCCGCAGGCGCTGGACCACATGACAGCCTGGCCTCCCTTGGCCTCTTGTGCCTTGTCTTCATGTGACATCCCCTTAACTTGGGCCTTGCCCCTCACTTGGGCTGCTTGGGAGCCCAAGTTTGCCTAGGCCTTGCCCCCCACTTGGGCTTTGCTCATTATACCCCCAACAATTTTAATGGTAGTAATTGAGTCAATTATATTACATACAAAAACCTTTATAGAAACATAACCATTTGCCTCTAATGAATATATTTGGAAACAAATAATTTTATCTCTATTTTAACTTTGGGACGCAAATAATTTGTTGTGTTATCACATTTTAGGGGCGCATATTATTGCCTCCAATAACTCCATGTATCAGATGGTTGTCTTTATAGACTTTCGGAGACATGTTTTTTTTTTTGTCTCTAATGGTTTATATCGAGACAATTACATATGCTTCTTATTATTGATTTTGACAATAAAACAATTATATCACGACAATAATTTGTAATATAAATGCAATTATAAAAATAATGAAAATATATTTTTTTAATTATAACCATATTCCTAAAATCCATCATAAACCTCATGTGAAAATTACATAGATAGAACTAAAATGTATGTCATTGTTCACTCAACAACATCAAAGTTGGACCACGAAATTAAGAACCAACTATTCAACTAAGATAGTCTTCGCCCTCAATAGCTTTGACCAATAATCATAATGGTCTAACAACACCAGTCTTCTTCACCTGTTACACATGAACAAATACACCAACCGGACCGGATCAGCCACATACCATATACATGTACAACTAGGTGTGGCTCTTAACAAATTTTCTTGTATTAACTTACCAAACACGGTGGCCAAGCGATCGATTCTGCTACTGCATCTCCAATGGTTTGATAACTTTCATATGGGCGTACTAAATGCTCCTCAGGCTCGATTGCTACATTAACAAATATTTCATAGAAGCCTTTTCCCAATTCTTGATCCCCTACACAACAACGTGGATTTTTGCTCACTATCCCTCCTCTTGCTACCTCTAGAGTAGGATCATGCAAGCTGTACAATTTAACACAGGAAAGTCCCTATACCAAAACATGTATACAGTGTTAACATAACAGATGAATCCTGAAACCAACAAACAAGATTGAAGTACATTAAATGCATAATGTTGAGTTGGTTCCCTAATCCATGTACGTTTACATAAAATAAATATGTATAACAAAATAAAGTAGGCAACAATTTGCTAGAATAGAGTTTTGTTAATCTTACCGGAGTGGTACTATATGAGTCGGTATCATCAATATTACTCCCATCCAACTCATTTTCCAGTGTATGTGTACCTTTTTTCTATAAAAAATAAAAGGCAATTAAGTTATAGAACTATAAAGAACCCTGTTTATTTCTAAGAATTCGCACAATGTAATATGATGTAAAAGCAAGGATAATCTTACTTGATATGAGTTAACCATGTAATTGAAGAATGAATCATCTTTCTCTTTTCCTTGTGTCTGCACTTCCACATCCGAAGACCCCCCCTTGGCAAGATGGTACGACGTAGAGGAATAAAAGTATCAAGAATACAATTTGGTGTTTCCTAATGTGAAACATAACAATTGTTAAAGATAAGCAAATCGATACTATAATTTGTGACAATTAAGAACTTACAAAGAAAAACTTACATCATCAGCTAATTGAGTTTCTGGTATTGCTGTTGATGATTGTAATAGGGGAAGTAGTGGACCAGTTCCTAGTTCATCAGATTCTCCTACATTGGGGATTTCATTCTATAACATAGAGCAATGAGTATAATATTCAATGATAATAAGGCATCTCACTAATAATATCTAACAAAGAAATGACATTCACCAAAAAGTTAAATATAACTCGATGCCCTTGTACCTCATTTGGTTCATCCATTATTTCATCCAAATCCAAATTCGGATTGTCCTTGTGTAGCAAAGCCAATATCTTGTCTTGTTGCCCCAACACTTTGTTTAGTTTTTCTTCCACCCTTGGTGCTTTATCTTCAGCATTTTTCTTAGCCTCTAGCGCAGCCTTTACAATTGAGCAACGTGAATTCTTGATTCCCCAGTTGGGTCCTAATCCATATGCTCTTGAGTAATAAGGTTTGTCCTCTAGCACTTGAGACAATATCTCATTTGGTCCAGAACTATCAGGTGAAGTAGGAGGTTGTGCTTGCATTTTGTCCTTCAATTTCTCCTAACCAAACCAATATATGATTGATATTGTTGACATACAAAACAAGGGCGAAACTTCCATTGTGGTTAACATAAGATTCATCAATATTAACAGTCATTTGTGTGTACTTACAATGACTTTAGCAACTTTATCATTCAATGGCTTCCCACCAGGTCGTACATGACTTGCAATATAAAGCTCAGCACGAGTCGGCTCCGACTTATCTGGTCGTTTTCTTTTCTGAATGGTAGACATGCATACTAGTTAACAAGAATAACAAATAACAATTGCAATAGTTCTAACAATATATAGAGCCATAATCCATATGATTAGGCTGAGAATTCACGAATTCTAGACAAGACATGCTCTGAAAATGCTCAAACAAAATTATAAATGTTACCATCTCTTCCTTGAAGCGGGCATAGCTTTTAGTGCCCATGGTATGAGCTGATAACATGTTCTTTCTGTTCTCTTTTCCCACCTTCTCACGCCGCTAGAAAGAAAACAAAATTCAAATGCTTGATAAATTCTTGCTCAACTAAACAAGTTAATAAATTCTTCAAAAATTTCTCACCATAGCTTTTTCGGTGCTCCAATATTCCAATAACCACCGCCAATCTTCATCACATACTCTTGTGTCTTTTGTTTTTTTGTTGATCCAATCGGATTTCACATTTGACTTAAATCTCCCCCACTTCTTATTCAATGAGGTCATGACCCAATTATAAAGAAATATGTCCACGTCAAACTTTTCCTGCAATTATTATTCGAGAGAAATGAAAAGAAAAACATCTTAGACTTAGATATAAACATCATATAATCTTGTGCCTGGCATACCTGTACCATATTCCACATGGTAGTCTTGTAATGTTTGGGCATAAGCCTCCAATCCTCATAATGTAGAGGTGCATATATTGCATTGCGTGCTAAGGTACCAAGAAAGTTTCCCAGCTTTGTGGAACCATCACCAGTGGGCTGTCCAAGATCATTTACTGTGATTTGAATTCGCTCCCCCGGTTGCATACCCCAAATTGGCATGCACATTGTTGGGCCTCGTGTTCTTTTCTTAGAGGGCGAAACATCTTGTCTTACATCCACAGTAGAGGAATGCCTATTAGAATTTGAAGTCTTCCTTGAAATCAACATGGATTGCCGGGAAGACATGACCCCACTGCTCATTAAACGATAGATAGATTAGTATAACATATTCTAATCACTGAACGTACAACGAAAGGGACGACACTATAATATAAACAATCATCATAATTACATCCAATCTGTCGGATTCACCCAGAGAAGCTTTAAAATTATTGTAGTTTCCTGACATTTTCAATTCAAGCAACTAGGTTAAGATTACAATGCAGGGTCATACGTTTTACTTTCAATAAAATCACCGACGCTAAGTTACAACACCAAATTACACTATGGAGATAACCATAGACAACGATGAACCATAAAGCCGCAAAACCCTGCAGTTCTTAAAAAAACAAAGCAAGACGTCGCACATACAGTTATCTAGGTGAGTGATATGGCAGAATGGTTTAGACATGTTGATAGAGAGAGTTCATTGATTTACCGCAACGCTCGACGTCGACGTCGTATCCCGTTGTACGAGCTCCGCAATGAAGGATCAGAGAGATGGGTGAGAAGAAGGGTTCACGACGCGTCACAGGGGAGGTAGGAAGTTGGACAGTTGCTGGACTTCTTGAGTTGTAGGTTAAATCCCCAAATAATAAGATGTTCAAATTATTTTACTCCCCACGCGCGCCGACCTTTTATGATTTGGAGTGCACCGCTTAGCGCCGACTTAGAGATTGGGGGATGGGACCGAAACCTTTGAAAACGAAGACGTTTTTGCTTAGTCCGCAGCACCCATTAATATTATTTTAAAAGTAGCCCATAATTCTTAAGCAATAAAATAGTTATAAGATTTTTGCTTTTGCCTTTTGTGATACATAGATGCGTAAAGGCATTCAATTCATTTGAGAGTAAAAAGATAGGGTCCATTGTTAATCCTTGACATAGTTAGGAAGTTAATCCTTGGCATAGTTAGTAAATACTCCGTTTGATACACGTATGTGTACTCATTCGTATTTTATCTGTTTAAAATTTTTATATTCATATTATTGTCTAGCCGTTTCATTTTTTCCGTTCACTTGATAGCTCTCGTAGTAATCCTCGACATAGTTAGTAAATCCACTTTGAATTGTAAATCTTTTGGATTGCAGCTCAATAATAAAGTTTAACACTAGCACAAATTTGCCATGACAAACATATTAAAGTTGTGAAGATCATATGAAAACTTGGTTCAGGAGAATTTAACACAATAATCAACATCTTTGTAACAGGACAAGCTCACATAACCAATCAAAACAACCTCTAAAAGATTCTTCTCCTCATAAACATAGTTAGTAAATTCTCCTCATAAACATTCTTCTCCTCTCGCCACCTGCATACCCAACCCCCAATTAGAGTGCTACTCAGCAGAATGCAACAAATAAAACAATCTAACTTGAATGCTTACTGTTCAATAATTATATTCATCTGTTTCCATATGATCTACACCATCATCTTCGATTTCAGTATCAGGAATTCCACTTGTATTAGGTGCAGTTGACTCGCCAGGATCATCAACCAAGTCACCACGTACATCACTCCTGATCCAATCAACATTGTCATCATCACTGTGCATCTCTTGTTCAACTTCAATCATGTTGCAAGTTTCACTCTGTAAATGTTCATCAACATCACCATCTTGTTCGACTTCAATCATATCACAAAGATCTCTTGGTTGAGTTCTGATAACCACTTGCCACTGACTATCAATTGGATCTGGAACATAAAACACTTGTTGGGCTTGCGATGCCAAAATGAAAGGCTCCTTGTCACTCATCCGTCGAGAGAAATTAACCAGTGTAAAACCCAAATCATCTTGCTTTAAACCTCTGCCACTTGACACCCAATCACATTTGAACAAAACTACCTTCTTACCAACCCAATAATCCAATTCTATGATCTCCTGAATAACTCCATAGTAAGTGATGTCGCTATAGATTGGATTCTTGTCTCGAGAACTGGCGAAGCATTGAGTGCCCGCAGTCACCATCACCCCACTGTTCTGCGTTTTCCTTCTTTCCTCTCGGCCCTTAGTGTGAAACCTAAAACCATTGATGATGTATCCATTGAAATTTCTAATCACATTGATCGGTGTTCGCGCCAAGTGCTTTAATTCCTCCAGTTTTTTCTCAGACACATTATGGGTTTCTCCTCCATTAACATGCGAATGTGACTTGTGATTTTCATACAACTTAAAAGCAATGAAATATTTGCATCAACAAACTAAAACTTGCCTGATCAGCAAACCAAACTCGAAATGTTGAATTGTGAAGGAGTTGAATGGCACGAGGTGAAGCACGTGGGTTCTGAGATTTCAGGAAAGCAAGATGTTGCCTGCAAAATTTCAAGATATAATAACCTGCATAGAACCGACAGGAAAACAAATAAACCAAAAGGTTTAAGTTCTCTTATTCAACGAAAGGGACTACATCCTCACAATTAGACAACAAATATTGATGTGCTTTTGCTAAAAGGTCATTCTTCAAGACTTCCTGATTTCCTGCTCCTATCGGGCGGCCCAACTGTGGAAAGATTGAAGATGATTCTCCACCCACAGATTTAGACCCCCTCGTTGTCTTCATTTCTTGAAGGGCGGTTTAATCGTGTCTCCATTCCTTGTAAGTACCTTGCGCAAAATGACATGCACTCTTCAGCAAGATGACCATTAGGAATGGAACCTTCTGGTTGCGCCTTGTTGCTAACATAAGACTTCAACGTAGACAAATACCTTAACAAGTAAAAATGGCTCTGTCAACCAAAGGGCATAATAAAACCAAATACAGTAATATAATATATTGTTAAGAATCATTTAGCATTATAAATTTTCTATTTTACATGACGAAGACATAAGAACTTACCGCTCAATTGAATACATCCATCGTCCTTGCACTGGCCCACCTTGCTTTGCCTCAGACACCAAATGAACGGTTAGGTGAACCATGATATCAAAAAATGAGGGAGGGAAGATCCTTTCCATTTCACAGAGAGTCAAAGCAATTCGATCTTGTAAACGGTTCAAGTCCGCTACACGACCAACCTTTGAACATAGTTCTTTGAAGAAGGAGCACAATTGGATCAAAGGCTTACTAACTGCTTTGGGTAATACTCTTCGTATTGCCAAAGGAAGAAGTTGTTGCATTAGAATATGACAATCATGACTCTTCAAAGAAAATAGTTTACGCTGCTTTAAGTTGACACATCTAGATATGTTAGCAACATAGCCATCAGGAACTTTAACACTCTTCAGTACCTTACACAACATGTTTTTCTCTTTGGCTGATAATGCAAAACAAGCTTTAGGCATGTATAACTTACCAGAAGCATGTCTGCGGGGGTGTAATTTATCTCGTATGCCCAATAATTTCATGTCCATCCGAGATTTCACAGTATCCTTGGTCCTCCCACAGACGTCCAATAATGTCCACAAAATATTATCACATATGTTCTTCTCAATGTGCATAACATCAAGATTATGTCTCAACAAATTATCTTTCCAATACGGCAAAGTGAAGAATATACTCTGTTTCTTCCAACCATAAGGTAAAGGATCATTGGCACTCTCTTTTCCAAAGATAATCTGTTTTCCTTGCAACTCATTCAAAATATCATCTCCGGATAATTGTTTAGGGGCTGACCTGAATTCTTGTTGGTTGTCGAAAGATGCTTTATAACGGCGAAACACGTGCCTTTGAGGCAGAAACCTGCGATGCCCTAAATAGCAAAACTTATGACCATTCTTCAACCACTGTGAGTGAGTATGCTTATGACACGAAGGACATGCAGTTTGGCCTTTGGTGCTCCAACCTGATAGCATTGCATAACCGGGAAAATCACTGATAGTCCACATCAAAGCTGCCCTCATTTTGAAGTTCTGTTTCAAAGATGCATCATAAGTTTCTATCCCCTTATCCCACAAATCTTGTAACTCCTCAACCAAAGGTTGTAAATAGACATCAATGTTATTCCCGGGAGATGCAGGGCCAGGAATAATGAGTGATAAAAACATGTAAGGTTGTTTCATGTTTAACCAAGGAGGTAGATTATATGGGACCAAAATGACCGGTCATGTACTGTGCGACGAAGTCATTGTTCTGAAGGGGTTAAATCCGTCAGCAGCTAATCCTAGTCTAACATTGCGCGAATCTGCAGCGAACTCTGGATGTCGATAGTCAAAAGTTTTCCATGCAGCTGAATCTGCAGGATGCCTTAAACATCCATCTTTGACACGACCTTCATCATGCCAACGCATCAAAGTGGCTGCACTTGATGACATATACAATCTTTGGAGTCTTGGTCCTATTGGAAAATACCAAATCTTTTTGTATGGAACATTAGCAGGCTTTTTTTTGGAGGATCCAACAACAGGTGTTGGTAAATTCTTCCATCTATCAGCTCCACAGACAAGACATTTAGGCTCATTTATATGTGTTTTCCAGAACAACATATAATCATTTTGACATGCCTCTATTGTCTTATAACTCAAACCCAACTCTGAAATAAGTTTCTCCGTCTCATAGTAATTTTTGGGCAAACTACATCCCTCGGGAAGAACCTCTCTCAATAGATCTAGCAGCAAAGTGAATGATTTGATTGACCACCTTCCAAGACACTTTATCTGAAACAATCTGATGATGAAGGAAAGCTTAGAATGACTTGTGCATCCAGGATAGAGTTCGGTTTTGTTTGCATCTACCAACTTAAAAAATTTCATAGCCTCTGCATTTGGCTCTTCTACTTCTGACTCACCACCCATAACCACATCATTCAACAAGTCGTGCATGTCATTATCTACCCCCTCATAATGGTGGGCTGTACTTTCCATAGAAGGGGTGGCATGAAATGGGTTTTCTCCATGTAAAACCCAATGTGTATAATTTGGTACAAACCCAACACATATCAAGTGATCACACACTTCAGCCTGAGACATCCAATAACGATTGGAACAATTTTTGCATGGGCATAAGACTTTTCCATTCCGACAACATGGAGAACCAAATGCAAATTCAAGAAAAGTGCCTAATCCGTGCACGTATTCGTCGGTATTCGTCGGCCTACTCATCCAACTTTTATCCATGATGCTAACCTTATACATAAAATCAAATTAGCACTTCAAATTCCAGCTGCATGTACAATGCACTCATCTATTATTTGGATTCTTAGCTATAAGCCTAATGGTCGTCTACTAGGCAAAAAAGGTTCCGTACCTCGTTTGAGCTTGGTTGGTAGACCACTCATTGCCTCGCCGCCTACGATAGACCAGTCGCAGATGGAGCTCCAACGACGGCAGCGACAAGTTGCAAATCTGGTCTCAATCAAAGAAGGTAGACGATTTGGGTTTATCGAGCATCATGTAATGATTGGGAACCTAGAAGGGAGGACACTAATAGGGGAAGAAGAAGAAAGCGATTGATGGATGAAAGTAGATCTAGATTCAAAATGGAGGAAGAAGAAGAGAATGCAGTCAAATCGATTTTTATGGCGGTCGCGTTGTTGCCTTATATGCCTCATCCTTCTCTTTGCTTCTGTCGTTGACGATGGATCTTGAAACGAGAAAGACAAGAAAGAAGGGCGGCGCTGGTTTCTGTGCATAGCAACTACGAGCGCAACAAAGAGAAACAGAAACAAGGGATGTCTCGATGCTCTCCTCTTTGGCTCGTTGTTGAAGCTGTTGATCTTGATTTGGAAGAACTCGGATTTGAAGAAGATGATTTGTTGAACAAGAGATTCCGCTTGGCTAGGGGAAGGGGAAGGAAGAGAGATGGGAGAGATCTTACAAAAAAAAAAAGAGATGGGAGAGAGAAAATGAAAAATATTTATTTAATTTATATTTATTGTTCACCTACACATTTTAATTGATTAATTGTCGCCAACTCAGCCACTCCGTTAGTCCAGTCAGCAATTTGTTTAACATCGTCAAAGAATTGGACGGAAGTGGCTATTTTTGGTATTTCGTCAAAAGTGGCTATATTTGGCCAAACCGTCAAAGTTTTGGCTACACAAGTGTATTTTGCCTAAAACATAAGATGTCTTCCGAAATTACTTATTCGAAACACGAGTGAATCAGACTTTCCAATTAAAAGTTGATTTGTGATTTCTATGGTCGCTTACCCCTAAAATTAACTTTGTATCACATTGATAATTTACAAGGCAATAATTGTCTTTATAAGACCAGATCAACTGTAATAATTAATGTTATTTAAGCTGAGCCTTATAGTACTAGATTTTGAAGCTCAAACCACTAAGTGTCCGAAAAGAAGTAATCTTGTCGCGTGGATAGAGACTAAGTCTGGTATAGCTCGGTGGTCACGATTCTGCTAGACCACGCTCGTCACGAGTTTGGTAAATCTCGGTAATCGCGAGTTCTAGACCACATCGCGAGTCCGCTAGACCACGCTCGTTGCGAGTCTACTAGATCATACTCGTCGCGAGTTTGGTAAACCTAGGTGGTCGCGAGTCCGCTAGACCTCTAGCTCATCGCGAGTCCGCTAGACCTCTAGCTCATCGCGAGTCCGCTAGACCTCTAGCTCATCGCGAGTCCGCTAGACCTCTAGCTCATCGCGAGTCTACTAGATCATGCTCGTCGTGAGTTTGGTAAACCTCGATGGTCGCAAGATCTAGACCACGTCGCGAGTCCGCTAGACCATGTTGGTAATGAGATCTAGAAGGCCTTAGCCATGAGATCTAGACCATGTCTAAGATCTAAACTAACAAGTTGGAAGTCAGAGAGCTAGACCACGTTGGCCTCAAGTCTAGTAGACCACGATGGTCGTGAGTAGGTATCGTCACATCAAGTTTGGTAGTCCTATTATCCCACGGGAGGCAAGTAACAAGACGACAGTTCCAAATGAGAGAGCATGTGATTAACTAGGCAACTGCCTATTATCCCACGTTCAAGGACACGTCAACCACGTCCGAGGAAATCATTCATTTAACATGGGGAGTACAAAAATTTATGTTAAGCCAGCTAATCAGGATGCTTCGTGATAACTTCCTGACGAAGTGGATGACTCACCTAAAACGACATCATGACCGCCTTTTTCTTGACTAAAATAGCGCTTTCGGCGCCGTTTTTCTTTGACGTCTAGTCTTCATGGCTCCAGCAACTTGGGCTCGATGTCCTCTACGACTTCCAAGTGGCCCTAGGCTACTTTGCCCTGAAAATGCACAAAACGCTACCAAAACTCAATTGTATAATTGCATTCCAAGTGCTGCTAGAACACATTTGAAACAATCACAACAATAATTCGATGTATTATGACGATAATGATGGCAATGTATGCATTTTGGGTCATGATATGGGCATCTAGAATAGATAGTTTCACATAGGGGTGGAAATCGGTACGGTATCAGGATCCCAATACCAAATACAGAAATCCCGAATACCGAATTACACCCTAAAGTATATCCCACCCAATCCCTAAATATTTCGGTATCCCAATCGTTATTATCGAATATAAAATTAATTATCTTTGCAATTAATAATTAAATATATAAATGAGATTTTATTGCTTAATTTAGGGCAAAGAGACTAAGCAAATTGTCTTGAATTTGCCTAGAGGTAAGATATGAACAATGAAGGAGAGATCACACCTCAAATTCTTGTCATTTGTAATATTTAATTTGATGAATTGAAAGCTGAGAGACGAATAATACTCATGTTTGTGGTTTTTGTTTTCTTCCCCTTTGTTACCATAATAATTATATTAATCAAAACGGGCCCGTGGCTGCTATAAATAGCGCATCCATGAGCACTGAAACTCGATCCCAAACCTCTCACCCAACCCAACCCATCCACCTCTCTCGATCGAACTATACTCTCTCCACCCCATAACACAACAAAACAAAACTATGCCGTCGAAACTAGCCGATGCTTTCAGATCCCACCCAGTAGACATCCAACCGAAAAACCTCCACGACTTCACCTCCCTAAAAGAGCTCCCGGACTCCTACCAATGGTCCTCCGAGCAGGACCGACCAGAACCCGAACCGGTTCATCACGAACCGGTGCCCGTGATCGACCTCTCGGACCCCAACGCGCTCGAGGAAATCGGCCATGCATGCACACGGTGGGGAGTGTTTCAAGTCGTCAACCACGGAGTCCCCGCCGCCGTCCTCGACCGGATGGAGGACGTCGCCAAGAGTTTCTTCAGCCTGCCGGCTCACCAGAAGCTCAAGGCGGCCCGGTCACCCGACGGGATCTCCGGCTACGGCTTGGCCCGGATCTCCTCGTTTTTCCCAAAACTCATGTGGTCGGAAGGCTTCACCATGGTTGGCTCCCCGTTGGAGCATTTCCACAGAATTTGGCCTCATCATTACACCCGATTCTGGTACGTATACGGTATACCGCCCCTTTTCTAAATTATTTGTTTTCCTCCTTTCAACTCTTTTGTTTTTTTGTTCTGTATTTACTACCATGGTGGAGTGTCAGGGCTCCACTTGTATTCCTGTGCCAATAAACTCGTTCGTTGCTGTCATAAACCAGCTGGTCCCAATAACTCGAATTATTGGGACCAGCTGGTTTATGACATGGTATCAGAGCTGGTTTGTTCTTCATGTCACGTGTTCAAGTCCTCACGACCCCCAATATTAATCGTTGTTGTCTTTCAAGCACATGGTATGTCGGGTTTGTGCAAACTTCAAGCCCATGAGCCGACTTTCGTTTGAGGGGGCGAGTAAGGAAGTGATTAAGTACCATACATGGACCTGTATAAGATCCACTATAACCTTCTCTCAACAATTCGAGTTATTGAGACCAACTGGTTTATGACAGATTCCCTTTTGATCGATTATTATTTAGCGATTGAATCTATTTTCTCATATTTATCTGTCTTCTCGATGGAAAACCTTTTTTCCTCATTTGTTGTTTTATGTGGAAACAAACAAAAATTACTTTATGGCACACCGAATGAAAGGAACAACTTTGTTAAGTTTGCCTAGTAGCAGGGATCGATGATACCAATTGATTAATAATTGTGGTTCGATTATATATATGTACCTACATAAGCGGACAAGATTTAGGATTAGCCGATTAGTGACAGCGTTGGCCCGGATTCAAGAAACTAAAGTCCTTTCTACTACGTTTGGAGTTTAACTCTTAATTATTCCCATATTGTTGGCCTGCCCACTTGCATTATATTTATTTGTGCCTGTCTTTTTTTCTTCTTTTTCTTGTGTCATATAGTGACAGCGTGGAAGAGTACGAGAAACAAATGCACAATCTGGCACAAACGTTGATGTGGCTAATGCTTGGTTCCCTTGGGATTACAAAGGAAGATTTGAATTGGGCTAATAATAATAGCAATAGCACCACCACCCCAAGAGGTGGACCAAAGAAAGAGGCAGCTGCTGGCTCCTCGGCCGCGATCCAACTGAACCACTACCCGAGATGCCCCGACCCAGACCGAGCCATGGGTCTCGCCCCACACACAGACTCCACCCTCGTCACCATCCTCCACCAGAGCAACACCAGCGGGTTGCAGGTGCTGAGGGCCGGCGGAGGGGCTGGATGGGTCACGGTCCCTCCGATTCGAGGCGGGCTGGTCGTGCACATCGGCGACCTGCTCCACATACTGTCCAACGGGTTGTGCCCGAGCGTGATCCATAGGGCCGTGGTTAACCGGGACCGGAACCGGATATCGATTGCCTACCTTCATGGCCCACCTTCGAATGTGAGAATCTCGCCCGTGCAAAAACTTGTGGGGCCAAGTCAACCTCAAATGTATAGGGCAGTGAGTTGGAGTGAGTACCTAGGCACCAAGGCCAAGCACTTCGACAAGGCTCTTTCTTCGGTTAGGTTGTGTGCTGCTGCTGACTGCTGAGGCAAAAGATGGAGTGCAAGTTGGCTAAACCCAGCTGCCTAGTAGCTACACAGCACAACTTTCCATCCCATTAGCAAAAATCAAATTTTGTCCTCTCCTTCGTTTTCCCCTTTGTCTCCTTTATTATTATTTTTAGTTTAATTCGTTTTAATTTGGCTCTTTATTGGATTGGTTTTTTTTGTAAGCATATGAGTTATGACATGTACATTTCTCCCCTTTTTCATCCTAAATATGAATTTAACTGTACGAATCTTTAATTTAAAAATTCTTATGTTGATCTCAATGACGCTGTTATGGGACAATCTAAGTATCACATCGGAAATACAAGGGAAGGAACACTTGTATGTTAGTGTCCACCTACCCCAATTAGTACGAGGCCTTTTGGAGAGAATACCCAAGAATAAAACCGTGCGGGCTTGGCCCAAAGTGTACAATATCGTACTAATTGAGCAGCCCAATTTGCGACAGACGCGAATTACTATAATTTGAATGCTAATATAAAGAGATGGTTATTGGGAGATTACTTTGGTTGCTTGAAATGCTACAAAGGCAATGATGATTTCATTTTTAGTGAGGTGAATGAAATTTTCTCATTAAATATTAGCAACCAAAAGTTTTTGTAAGATATGTAATTGTTTTAATTATATATGTGGACCAAAAAATTTCCTATAACCAGTAAGTGCAGTAACATATGTCAATTTTGTAGAAAATTTTATTTATTGGAATATCAGTCTAATCAAAATAGCTCAATTCTAGAAGATCAATTAAAATAACTCAATTCTAGATCTACTGATCCAACAAAATCTAATTTTGGATGACTAAGTTAAACAGTCAAATATATTTTTGCTGTTATCGTGTCATACGTCTCATCACCATCACTTCATGTATGAAAATTTTGCAAATAAATACAAAGGGATCATTGTACAACTATTCAACATTTTCAAACTAAATGGGATCAATAAGTTAAGCGCGCGCACCCAGTCATCTTGTGCGTCAGATCATATCTAATACAGAGACAACTATATACACTCACTTGCTCACTATATATGTGCACACTAGTCACGCAATTTTAAATAATTATTGTTCATAAATTTGCATGTTAACTCATCTGACAACAGTTTACTTGAAGGTATCGTTTAGATAGAGTATTTGGGTGGGTTATTTGTGAGTTATTTGGGCACAAATAACTCGTTTGGCAATATTTTGTTGAAATGGGTTATTTGGACAATGAGTTATTTATAAATAACTCAAAAGGAGTTATTTGAAATAACTCATATCCCCGTGTAATTTTGAAATAACTCGTTTTATCACTAGACTGTTTTTCCCAAATACTACTTGTCGAATACCACATTTGCATGGTTCTACGAAACGAAATACTTTAACCCAATTAGCACTGAAATAACATTGAAATACCACATGACCAATTAATGAGTTATTTACAAATACCATTTGACTAATTAACCAGTTATTTGAACAGTGAGTTATTTACAACTAACTCAAAAATAAATTATTTGAAATAACTCATACCCTTGTTATATCGAAATAACTAGTTTTACCACTCTGTTTTTGTCAAATACCATATGTCAAATGAGCACTTTTACTATGCTATATAGTATTGGTGCTTTAATGTACAACTCAAATACCATATAATGATTCTACCAAACGAGATACTTTAATCCAATTACCACGAAAATAACACTAAAATAGCACATCAACAATTAATGACTTTGTTGACTATACAAATATACCATTGACAATTGAAAAGTAAATAAGGAAATTTGTAACATGCTTTAGTATTTAGGAAGCGATGGAAATTATGGCAAATCATATCGCTTAGAAAAGTATTGAAATTTTCTTCTCTGGAAAGGGTACAAACAACAATACACTGTATGCATTATTTAAAAAAAAAAAGTATACACTAACTAAATGGATAACGAGTGGAGTTTCATATATACTAGGTGGATCGCGCTTCGCTGCGGCTTCACATATGATCAGATATATTGTTTGCTAATCCGTATTTGATTTGTAACCATGTTTAGCAGTGGTTTAGTAGAAAAACTTCTTACAGAATCTAAGTTGGCAGGAGATTTTAATTGTATGCACTGATTTAATCATGGTTGAACTTCATTTTTAGATGAAAATACCCTAATGCTAGCTTTTCCGGTACGACCTTCGGTATAGTTTTACAAATTTTTTTGTTTTTCCTAAACATACATTGTGGCTCGGGTTGGAGCAACGTGTCAACCCTGATTTAACGACGAATGAACTATGATTTTAGCACAAAATATCCTAATTCTAACTTTCCTGGTACGACATTCGATATGGTTTTACAATTTTTGTTAGTTTTTTTTCTTGATCATAAATCAAGGCTTGACTTGGAAGCAATGTGTTAAGCCTGATTTTAACACGGTTGAACTACAATTTTAGTACAAAATATTGTAATACTAACTTTTTTGGTACAACCTTAGGTATGGTTTTACAATTTTTGGTTTTTTTAACATAATTCGAGGCTCGGTTGGAGCAACATGTCAAGCCGTATTTAACCACGATTGAACGACGATTGTACCGTACTGGCGGTGCAACCAAAGAAGTCCTAACGGAATCTAAACCGGTAGGTGATTTTAGTTGTATGAAATTATTTAACCACAATTGTACTACGGTTTTAGGACAAAATGCTCTAATGCTAACTCTTTCGGTACGACCGTCTGAATGGTTTTACAATTTTTTTCCGAACATGTATCGAGGCTTTGGTTGGAGCAATGTGTCGAGCCTGATTTAACCACTATTGAACTACGATTTTACACAAAGTACCCTAATGCTAACTCTCAGTAGTGTTCGAGGTTGTGAATCCAGTTTGGCCGGTTGACCCGGTCGAATTAGTGGGTCAAGAATTAATAAGTATTTACGAAACAATACGGTATTGGCGGTTCGGCCATAAAAATTTTCTAACGGTAGGTGGTTTTTAACCTATGAAATGGTTAAACCATGGTTGAACCACGACTTCGATACAAAATACTCTACCACTAACTTTTTTGGTAAAACCTCTAATACCAAACCTTCAAATTAATCCCGTGCAAACCAAATAATTGTTTGCGAAACCATACGGCATTGGCAGTTCGACCATACAAATATTCTATAGGTATGTGATTTTTAACGTATGAAATGGTTGAATCACGATTGAATCACAACTTCGATACAAAATACCCTACCACTAACTTTTTTATTACCCTACCGCTAACTTTTTTTAATTCAACCTCTAATACCAAACCTTCTGATTAATCTCATGCAAAACACAAAATAAATAAAAAAATGCCACTACTTAAAGGGCACACACATAAGTGACAGGAGAGGAACTATTTTACATGGAAGCAGAATTCTTGCGAGTGAGCTAAAATGATGACAGCTTGTTCATATTAGCAACACTCTTATGGAACAGTAACACAATTGTATCTTTAATAATATTCATAGAAGATACTTTATAACTTGTCGATTTCTATCCAATGAGATATAAAAGAGATAAGAAGGAGGCAGCTGGTATCCTGATCCTCCATCACCCTCATCAACTAGGCACGTAGCTGTCTGAGCAGAGAGAGAGAGAGAGAGAGAGAGAGAGAGAGAGAGAGAGAGAACATGAAGGAGAAGACGGCAGAAGCAACATAAAATTTGCCCCGGATATGAAGGGAGGGAGGATCCTCTTCTATTCTATCCAACGAACAAGACAGTAAACGATCAAAATGAATATATTGTGGTAGTGAATAAAAACAACAAGAAGAAAAGATAGACGGATAGGGCCACCAACAAAGACAGACAATGATCCAGAGATGAGACTATAGATCCCATACAGATCCATATTTATTAGGACATTACTAATAATAAACTCACCCATCCAACTTTCTCTAGCAAAAGTATAGAACACATTTTCTTTGGTTACACAAATGTTTCAAGGTAGGAATAGGATTGGTCGAAAAGTCACAAATGCTCCATAAAGAATTCTATAAAGAGCTAACTGATTGGTAATGGACAGAAAGCACCACTGCTTCATGCTAATTGGATCCCTCGTCTAAATTCCTCTCTCCCTTCGTACAAGTTACAACCCCCTAGTGGTTCCAGAAGGTGAACTTACGGTTGCCGAGATTCTTTGTCCTGGTGAAGGCCGTTAGTGTGATCTTAAAATAAGTCAGTGGTTTGACCCACCCACTTGTAGTGCGATTAAAGCTATCCCTCTTCCTCGCCAGGAGGTGGAGGATCGCCTGATCTGGCATGGCACTTTTGATGGAGTTTTCACAGTCAAGTCAGCCTATCATCTGGTTGTCTGGCTAGATAGAAAAGATGGTGACTGGAGCTCTCCGGCAAGTTGGATGGATAGGCCCAGATGGATTAAATTGTGGGGGAGAAAATATTCCTCCAAAGCTCAAAGTTTTCGTTTGGCAAATTTATAATCGTCTACTTCCCAAGACTGAGGGCCTAATTGAGAAACATGTCCAGATCCACCCCAAATGTCTGGTTTGTTGGGCGGATTTTGGAAACCTTGGAACATTTGTTTTTTTATTGTCTGGTGGCCAGGGCTTTATGGGACTATTCGAGCCTTGAATATCTCGGTCAAGGACTTCCCCGCCATACTTTCCCGCTCTTTCCGAAGAAGTTGATGTCTCTTATACATCAACCTCAATTGCTTATGGCGGTTATTGCAGTGTTATAGAGAATCTGGAGGTCAAGAAAATGAGTTGTTTTCAAAGGCAAACTTTGGGATCCCAGTTTTAATGCGACAATATCACCAGCAGTATCAAGAGTGGGTGAATTTACCAGTTGATAATGTTTCGTGCTTGCAGGCCCAACGAGCTCCAAGTGTGGGTGAACCTCCCCCTTACTCGTTTGTCTGCAAGTGGGACGGAGCAACTAAGAAGGGGTCTCATTCGGCAGGAGGGATGACAATTAGGAGCCCAGATGGGCCGCTGCTTTTGGCCAAAGGATTCAGTTTGTGAGGATTGATGACCCCATGGTCGTGGAGATGCTTGTCCTCCGGGAAGCCGTGGTCTGGTGCATGGCGAACAGGTTCACACAGGTGCGGTTTGAAAGTGATGTCAAGGTAGTCATTGATAAAATCAATAAGGCGGATGCTAGGGATAGTCAGATAGGTGCCCTTATGGAAGAGGTGTTGCAGTATTTTGCGATTCATGGTGGTATGAGTGTGCACTTTGTAGGTCGCCGTAGCAATAGGGTAGCCCACTTGGTGGCTAGAAAAGCCGTTCAATTGTACCCGATTGCGAGTCGCTTCTTTGATTTTGTGGCCTGGTTGAATTCCATGATATAATTGTCTATTTTTTCTGGTTAATATAATGATTATCTTTTATAAAAAAATTATGAAGACGAATTATCATTCATCCAACTAGAGACGTCTGAGATTGCAAAAGGAAACGTACACTTAGAATAACGGTGCTCCAATGACTAGCTACATGATAGGATTGGAAACGCTAGTGGCATGAATTTTCTTCCAAAAGATGTAAGACGAGTAGGCAATATGTAAGTGATTTGCGACATATTTTTTTACTACGCAAATTACTTATCACGCAAAAGGGTACTCTCTATTGAATGAGTGGTTTACTGTATAACTTTTAGTCATCAAATATTATTTTTGATCATTATGAAATCGCTAATTTCGGTCCGATCTAGGTGTCAACTCTAAATACGTTTGCTCCCCCGGTTAGGATCCGAAGGGCTGGTGCCCAAGAGGCATGGACGAGAATTGTCCATCAAACCACATAGTAGTCATACTCGATTAGGGACTTATTCCCTATTGAATCACAAATCATCAGGTCCCCAAACTAACTATTAGCAGAAACGGCAGAAACATAAGGTGGCGTGAACTTACAATATGATTGCGTGAAAAATCAATACTCTTACATGAATAATGTAAATATGACGTACATGATACATATATGACGTGAATAACCCAAAATTAAGTGTTTTGTCATTTTACGTGACAAGAGACTTGACTCTTATTCCTTCACCTTTTTCCCCCGCGCTAAGTTTCTTGATGGAGGCGACATGTGATGAATGCAAGAGGAACAGAGTATGGCATCCGCCATGTTAAGTTTGCCCGATCTGGGGCCTGCAACTCAATTGGTTCTCCCCGCTACAAACTATTATTGCGGAGACATGTATAATATAAGACCAAAGAAACTCTGCCACAGTACTGCCAATTATCGGGCGAGGCACTCAAAGTGTTGCAAGACCGACCGCGCGCAGGCAGTCGCATGCTGCCCACAGCCACCGCCATGTGCTGCTACCCAGCTAGCTCTGCATTTTGCACCGGCCACTCCCTGGCCCCTGCCTCCCTCAATTCCTGACCGCCTATGCATTATAATTATGTTGGTAGATATTTATATATGTATACATGGTGGCAATTTCGGTGCACTCACAAAAATGAGTGCGTTCAGTGCACCCAACTCAAAAACTAGTCTTAAAGTGTCGGATTTTGAATTTTATTTGTAGAATTAGTGTAATATGATGATATAACATATGATAACAACAAATTAGCGATTTACCCTAAGCCCTAGACCTTCAATTTTGAGTTCTATCCCTAAACCCCAAATTGTAAACCCTAACCCTATCCCTAAATCTCTAAACTCTAAATCCTTCAAATTTAAGTAAATCTTTAATGGTTTTTGTGCAAATTCATGTGCGTTATTGTTCATCGCATCATAAGTATTGATTGACATCATTTTGACATAAATCGCATGTTTAAAATGACGGTTATGAAGCGAGTGCACTGAATGCACCCAAAAAAATGAGTGCACCAAAACATCACCATATATATATAGTTTATGGCTGGATATATATAACTATATATAAGTTCTTGTTATTTTTCTTTCCTGAATGTTCCAAATATTATTACTAGCTAGATGATAATGGTCCAACGATTTGTTTGTTGGATTTGGAAAAATAAAGTTTTGTTTCAAAATTTTTGATTTGGAAAATGAATGATTTGATCATTGAGTAAAGAGAAATAGTTGTTTGGTTATTGGAGATGATGATTTTTCTAAATTGAATATATGAGATTACAAGTGAATTTACCATACTATTTTTAAAGCCGTTTGAAAACAAAATGCATGGGGGGAAGAAAATCCTTGTCATGGATTTGGGGGCTTATGGGAAATTCCAATAAAAATGTGGGGGTTACCTCAAATATGTGAGGCCCAAAAATAAGAAATAAAAAATTTCTAAATCTATGAACAAAAGGAAAACAAGCAATGGGTTTCTCGATTAAATCGTTAATGGATGGAACTTGGTTACGAAATACTAGAGTTGGGCTCATCCGTTGGCCGAATGAATTATATCGATAGTGTAATAATTACTCAAATAATTTATTAGATTGCATAAAAGCATCCAAATTATTCAATTATTAACATATAAAAAATAACATACATTATAATTTTTACAACATTTTCATAATTCATGGAAAAAATTAATTATAAAAAGTAAACAACACAACTCATGCATGATGTCGATTCTTGAAAACGTTAATATTCAAAACACACTACAATTTACTCTTTGTTGTCAGAAATTACTGCAAATTCTATTTTGTATTTCTTTTTTATTGCTCCGCATCTTCTCTACACAGCTTCATCTTCATTAATGACATTTTATATTCACCATCAATAGTCTCTTCTTTCTCGTTCTGCATTTCATTGAAAACCAAATTATAATAGTAAAATATTTGGTAATGTAAAACATCTTTTCAGGGTAGTATAATATCACCTCCTTCAACGTCAATATCTGCATCAATTCAGTCAAAAACGCGATTCTATGTAGAAGAGTGTTGGTGACCTAGAAGCATAAAACAATAAGCTTTAAGTTCTAAAGCATTGTAAGTAAAAAAGCACGATTCTGCGTAGAGGCATTTTGGTGGCCTAGAAGTGTAAAAACATAAGCTTTTTAGCGAGAAAGCGCAATGTTGACATTGATCTCCATCACTGAATTCACTAACTTTGTTATTAGAATACTCTTCCTTCTTCTCTTTTTTTTTTTTATGCGAAATAAAAAAAATTCATTAAGCTCAAGCTAATCTCAATCAATGAACTAAGCATCCTCTCAAACTGTGCTATACAACAAGTTTCTGCCTACAAAAGCAAAACTACAAGCTAAAAAGCTATTTAAAGACTGAGAGTATTTAACTGGTCGAGCTCTGTCTGGAGGGCCATATGGCTCTGAACTCGATAAGCAACTTCTTCTAACACTTTCTTGGCTATTTTTTTTTGGGGGGGGGGGGGGGGTTACAAATTGGTCTACTGCCATACATTCTGCTGCACCTTTCTCGCCAAACATGGCTAAGTGGTGTACTCCATATCAGTCTACATAAACATTTTTTTGCCCTTCTTTTGCTCCAACTCTGCACACACTAGTCAACATATAGATTCCAGTCTTCCACAATTGGTGGAGCCAACTGCTTCAAAATTAATCTCAACACACAGACAGTATAGGAACAGGTAATCAATAGATGCTCCCTTGATTCATCACCACTAAGACATAGTAAGCACTTACTTGACAGTTTTGCCCCATGAGATGAGCTTGTCTTGCGTGGCCAGCCTGTTGCATAAAAGCCTGCCACACAAGCACACCATGCCGAGGTATAACTTCTGAGCTCCAGATCAGCTTCTGCTAGTTAACTTCTGGTTTCTTCAATCTGATTGTGTCCCACACTTTTGATACTGAGTAGCGCACCATAGCCTCACCATTCCATAACAGATCATGTGCAACCCCCGAAATATAAGGGAAAGCAATCCCTCTGCACTTTAACATCTTCTTCCAAAAACATGTTACTGCAGAAGTGGGGGACAAGTCCAAGAATGAATTCTGCTTCAACCAGTATCTTTGAACCCATGTGACCCACAAAGAGCCTCCAGATGTCAAAACATCTGACACATGCCTCAAAACACAAGCCTTGTTCCAAATGTGAAAATTCCGATTTCCAAGTCCTCCATCGTGTCTATGAGCTGCCAACTTCTCCCAAGCCATGACAGCCTTCTTTCGAGACCCTTCCTCACCCGAAATCCATAAGAACTCATTGCACAGCCTCTCAACTTCCTACGGAACGAACTGTGGCAGGAGAAAGAGATTAAGCCAGTATTGCAAAGTACTAGAAATAACAGTAGAGATGAGTTGAATCTTCCCTGCATAGCTAAGCAGTTTTCTCCTCCAGCTTCTTAGCCTTTGAGTAATCTTATCCAGAACTTGACAATCCCTTCTAGTAAGTTTTCCTGTTATTAAAGGCACCAGTAGGTACTTCATGGGAAACACTCTAATAGGAAACTCAGTATGATCAGAGATAAACTTTTTTTCCTCTTATGAAATCCCCCCCCACAGAAAAGCTGACATTTGACAGAATTGCATCTTAAACCCGAAAGCTTATAAAACTGATCCATCAATCTTCTAATCCCTGCTACCCCCCTTATAGATCCATTTGTAAACATCATAAGATCATCTGCGAAACATAAATGAGTAATACACAGAGGTTTTCATCTATGATGAAAAGGTATTTGGTTCACCACTACTGCTCTTTTTGCTAAACAATCTAAAACCTCCATAGCAATTGTAAATAGGTAGGGGATAGTGGATCCCCCTGACTTAAACCTTTCCTTACCTTAATATTGCCACAAAGCCCTCCATTAACTTTAGAAAACCAGGAGGAAACTTCATTGCAGTCATGACATGAAACAAGAAACCTCAATAAACTAAGCCAAATGCTTTCATGATATCAATTTTAACAGCACATCTTGACGTTATACTCTTTCTGTGATAATCTTTGACTAATTCTGACATCAGTAATATGTTATCACTAGTGACCCTCCCCTTAATGAATGCAGATTATGATCTACTTATTACACTAGGCAGTACCATAGCAATACGATTATCCAACAACTTAGAGATGCCCTTATACAATGTATTGCAGCAAGATATAGGTCGGAAATCTTTCATTCTCTCAGAACAAGGCAGTTTAGCAACCAATGTGAAAATGGTTTTATTCACTATTAAAGGTAAGTGCCCAGTAAAGAAGAAAGATAAGATTACCTCTTCAACTTCATGTCCAATAATATCCCAATGCTACTTGAAAAATTCTGCAGGGAAGCCATCTGGTCCAGGGGTTTTATCCCTGCCCATTAAACTCTGCAGGGTTTTCTGATCTAGCTACTCCCCTATTAACATCTCACTTTCCTCTGATGCCAATCTGTGTTGCATAAGTGCTTCAAAAAACTACACTGGTTGTTTCTCCACATTTGCATCCTCAGTCCCAATCAGCTTAGTATAAAAAACAATTGCAATGTTCTCGATACCCTTCACATCAGTTATTACATGCCCTTGTTAATTAATCATCCTAGTTATCTGCTGCCTCTGAGTTCTAACCTTGACTGTTTTATAAAAGTAGGCAGTATTAGCATCACCTTGCTGCACAGCCTGAACCCTGGACTTTTGCTTGTAAAAAGACTCTTCTCTTGTATTTCACTAAATTCAAATTTTAATGGAATTTTTTTTTGAATTGTTAAAATTTCATTTTTAACAACTTAAATTTACCGAGTACATGTAATTAACTTTGTCTGAGATTGCTTTTCTTCATCCTTCATTATCTTCAAAACTATGTATCCACTTATGGGGTTCGCGATGTTGTAATCGATGAGTTTGATCTAGAAATTTGTCTTCAAGCACTCGGGTTTGTATGGGATGAGGAGATGAAGGTTCTCTCATTTTGTCACTATCTTTGAGTAGTTTCTCAATAGACATTTCATAAAAATCTAGCTTCCTCGCTGTACAAAATAAAGAAGTTAGATGAAATAAATATTATCTACAACTCATAGCTAATACCGAATCTGTAAAATAACAACAATTGAGATACATTATTTGGTTGAAAACTTTGTGTTTTGCGGGTATGTTGTTTTTTCTCTAATGAATGAAGTTAATCTTAACCTTATCTTTGGCAAGTTTCAATTAAAATGGTTTTTCTAACCCATTTAAAATCAGAGTTGAAACGAATGAGATATAGTTCCATAAATTTGCGATAAACTGAAAATCCCTTAACTATAGCTCTTGAGATTTATGTCAGTTGTAACTAAATGAAATTATGCACCAATATTTCATCCCTTTTATTTGGTTGTTTGAAAATTGCAATGGAAAACTATTTTGGATGATTCTCTAAGCTGGATATATTTTTTAGGTGTAGAATCAATAAATATAATACTCAATAATAGTATGAATTAACTTAAAAACTCAAACTAATACTAAAGTAGTTATAACATAATAAAATAATATGTTAGTGTTAAGTGAAGTTTTGATAAGAATTATCATCTCACAAATATAATTCTCTCACTGATATTTGATCAAAACCAAGCAAAGTTATGAAAATAGAAAGCAAACGGAGTTTCTAAGGTAAAAGAAAACTATACATAACAAATATAATTCTCACACTGGTATTTGATCAAAATCAAGCGAATTTATGAAAAAGAAAGCAAACGGAGTTTCTGAGGTAAAAGAAAACTATATCATACATCACAATCTTAGGTGGTATGATTTCATAATTTTTTTGTCATTTCCCAAAAAAAGAACCTAAAAAGAAATTATCTAGCTATAGGTTTTAAACTTTGAACTCCTAGTTTGTAGATGAAGATTGTGATCTACATTTCATCACTCTAAAAGAAAATCATTCTCTAAAAGAAGAAATGATGAATAAACTAATAATTAATTAAACAATCATTGATAATTATATTCATAAACCTCCTCACCATGAACAATTCTTATTAACATGTTGATTTTTTATTATGTATATATTTTTATCAATAACCTCAAATCCAAAGTTATATTTGACGTGTTTAATTAAGTTATTAATAATTAGTTAATTAGAAAAGTCACACATTTCAAAATTTGTCTCGAACACTTTACCTTCTAATAAAATAAAATAAAAAGTGAACATATATAGACACGCACAACACAACCCTCGGCTAAAATATAAAAAAGGACTATCCTAACTAAAAGTAATAGTCCTTATAATAATTTTTTTATTATAGGGAGGCCGAAGCCAGAAGAACGGTACAGAGAATCACAGGGGAAGCAGTCGCCTTCCAATCAGAGGTGAAGGATGAGAGCACTCACAACCTGAAAAGCTAAACAGCCAAACAAAGAAAAAGGACAACACAGGCAAAGCAGTCTAAGATTGATCATTGTCGAGGTTTTCGGTCACCACTTGCCGCGGGAAACATATTCCCATTACTTCTTCCTGAAAGAGCCTTTCTAAATCCAGTGGGAGTTCCTCTAAATCATACATACCGAAGGGATAGACGAGACTCTACTTCGAGAGCCAGTCCTCGACTCTATTTCCTTCGCGATATGTGTAAGTTAAGCGAACAACCCAACTCTGAGCCATCATTCTCCAAATAGCGTTAAAGAGAGTAGCATGAGGGTGAACTGGATCTGTTATTTTGTTAATGAGATCAATGGCTAGCTTGGAATATGTTTCTAGAATCAAGAATTGAGTACCCTTCCTCCAAGCAAGATCAAGACCATGATAGATACCCAGCAAGGATTGCTGAACCATTCCCTATATTGCAGGCAAAGCCAGCCATCCAATGTCCTTCACTATCCCGAAGCAGTCCTCCTGCAGAAATGGTTCCTGGGCCAGCACCATCGGTATTAAGTTTGCAGTCCTCCTCTCTTGGTGGCTTGGTCATGGCCTCTTTATCTATGTTGCTTTCTTCCAAGTTCTCGTCCAGTCCTTGGCCTTAAAAATTATGTAATTGACAGTAGTAGTACTGGATAATCTAGTGGCCTTGAATATATAATAATTTCTAAGCTTCCAGATGTACCAGCAAGTAAGAGCAAAGAAGCTATTCCAGCTCCCTGTTTCTTCCGTAGTATCGCAACTCTCTAAATTCATTTTATTCCATTCTTCATGACTCATAGCAAAGAAGTGGTGATGCTCGGCTGCAGGGATCAAACTTTCCCACACTGCCCTGATCTTAGCATAGTCCCGCAAACAATGAAGGTTCGTTTCAATGTCTGCCTCGCAAAGGGCACACTTGTCATCTGAGGAGAGGTGGCGCCATTTCCTAATGTTGTTCGTTGGCAACCGTTCCTTCCCCGCAGTCCACATGAAGAGTCAAACACATTCTGGAACCTACAGCCGCCAAATCATCTTCCAATGAGCTGAGTGGTGTTGTCCTTGCTGCTGGTCTTCAAGTTTGTATGCCGAGGAGATGGTGAAGAGTCCATTTGCTGAAGCTTTCCTGAATAGGCTATCTTTAGTAGTTGTCAATGGATCCAGAATAACGGATCTGATCTTCTTTATCACTTCTGCCGGCAGGTAAGCCTCCAGATCTTCAACCTTCTAGCCAGTAATATCACTCCAATAATCAGCAACTTTCTTCTCTTTTATCTCCATCGGGATCTCGATTAACGCATGAGAAATCAACGGTTCCTGCAAAACCCACGCATCCAACCAGAAATTAGTTTTCCTTCCATTTTTAACATTTTGAGCCACTCCTTTGTGAATGAGACTAATTGTTTGGGAAAAACTTTTCCAAGCATGAGAATTTCCCTTGACTTTTGTTAACAGTTGAAGACCATTTTTGCCACGCCCGTACTTGCTTCTCAGAGCATCAACCCATAAGGATGAATCATTCGTACTTAGCTTCCAAGCTCCTTTCGCCAACATAGCTTGATTTGTTCTTCTCGTGGGGCGTATACCAAGGCCTCCTTGACGGCGATGTTGAGTTAAATGATTCCATGCCACTGAATGCAACTTCGTTTTGCCTTCTGTCTCCCCCCATATGAAGCTTCTATTGTACCTGTTTATCGAGTTACAAACACCAACAGGGAGAAGTTCAGAAAACATTGGATAGATTGCAATATTCGAAGTGACTGCTTTCACCAAAGTCACCCTTGCTGTCATGAAGAGTTGTCTAGTTTTCCAGGCAACCAGTTTTTCTCGATTTTGAGGAGCGAATCTTTGTAGCGAGTCTTAGTGATCCTCCCATTGATAGCGTTAACTCCCAGGTAACGTCCTAGATCTGCCGTGAGCTTGATTCCGGCATGTTCGCTGAGTCGATTTGCTCTATCTCGGCGGATATTAGGAGAGACAAACATTGTCGATTTATGGAGATTGACCCGCTGCCCGGAGCTGATACAAAATTCATCTAGGCATTTTTTGATGATATTGATATGTTTTCCCTCCGCTTCTGCAAACAAAACTAGATCGTCAGCAAAAACAAATGAAAAAGTTTTGGGCCATTTTTGGATCGTCACCAAAGTCACCCTTACTAATATAAGTAAAAATGGACAAAGAATTAAACAAAGCCAAATCACACTCGCTATACTTTCAATTTTCTTTTCCCCCCTATTTGTTACTTTTCTCAAACATTATTGGTTAATACTATCTTCCCCGGTCCAATTTTCACCTTCTTATTCATTCTCTTTTTTGTTTTCGTCCTTTTCATTAAACAAGAATACGAGCATGGCACGAGCACGAATAAGCACGGCACGATTCGAACCGTGCCCGAGCCTGGACCGGGCTAACAAAGTTGACAAATGGGCTTGTATGGCACGGCACGAAAACTGTTGGGCCGTGCCAAGCACGGCACGAAATAAATGGACCCGAAGCGTACCCGTGTCGTGCCGGCCCAAGCACGGCCCAGCGCCCATGTACACGCCCATAATACATGTCCAGAAGTGAGGAGCTCAGCTAGTCAGCTTCATTTCTTTTACTTTTTCCATTGGAATCAAAAGACCCCAGCCAATTTGAACCACTCGACAATTTAGTATATACTAATTTGAAAAGAAAAAAAGCGAAAAAATTAAAATTTCACCTTCCAAAATGAACAAAACCCATGGCACCAGCACCATAGGAAGAGCACTGTAATTATGTGCCCTCACACTATCGATGTACGGTACATAGAAACATCGCAAACTTGTTTATTTGAGCGGTGGTGGAACAGATTAATTAATTAAACACTTCCCATACGTTTTCTTTTGTATACAATAAAATGGATTGGAATTGTATTTCCAGTTCTGTTGTTTCTCGATTTTTATTTCTAATTATAGTTTAGTATATAAGTCTCATATCAAGGAAAATGAATTGTATGTTAACAATAATTATTAATTTAATAGGTTTTTATCTTAAGAAATAAAATATAAATGAGAGAAAGAGATGATAGTGAAACAATCAATATAGATGGACCACTAATTACTTTTTCATAAACCTAGCTAATTCCTGCCATTTATGATAGGAATTCTAAATTTTTAAATATAGGCAAAATAAAATTTATTTTCCAACCTTTTTCATATCAAGTACCTTATCCCTAGCGTTTACCTGCTCAAAATTCTTGGATTGCTAGATACCATGGTAGTATGCAATTTTGGAAGGCTAGTGTAGCACTATGGACCATCCGGTGTGTGCAAGTTCAAAGCTGTCTGATTGCTTGATGCTGCCACCATAGCCAAACATGATTTCCAATGGTTCCTCATTGCAGAAGACCTGCAAGCATCTTGTTGCTGGTGAGCGGGTCGATCCTCGCGATTGCAGTTCTGGCCGTTGCGCCATCGCCTCCTCTGCCAGCGAGTTCACCCCATCTCCTCTAAGTTGGCAGCGCCCAGAGACCTCGTTGCCGCCTAGCGAGCTCGCCGTCAACTTGCGAGCTTGCTGCCGCTACGCGCCATCGCCCCTGACCCTCGCACCATCGCCTGCCCCCCCTCCCTCGCCTTCGCCCCTAAATCCGGTTACCACGGCTAACCGAACCAAAAATTGATAACCAATCGGTCAGTGGTCAGTTAGCCGTGGTTGTTTCATGGTCGGTGGTCGGTAGCTGTGTGTGGGGTGTCTCGATTTAACATATAATCGAGTTTTTGATTTTTGGTTAAACCAAAATTGACCGGTCTCCACCCCTACTCCAGACTAGTGGCCCCGAGTTCACTTTAAGAAGGGAAGATGCTGAAGGGAGTTATCTGACATAAAAAAAATAGATTGTAAGGAAGGGAGAGAAACTTTGACAATTGACAATGAGGCTTGTAACATCTCTCAAACTGAATTGGGTCCAAACTGATTAATCACATGAGGCTTGATTCACAATAAAATGTAATATCAATTTCTGATTAATTCAAGACCCATGTGTACTGTAGGGTCCAAACTTAATTGTTAGACCACATGTTTGGTAGATAGTAGTTGGACATGAGCTAGCACTACAACAAAACTGTGTTTTAGCGACAGTAACCAGACTTTTAGTGACTGTCAAAACCATCGCTAAAATATTTAATGACAACCAATCAACAGTCACTGACCCCGCTGTCCTTAAGTTTTTTAGCGACGATTTTGTTCGACCGCCGCGTCAACCATCAGCAACTTTTTGTGACGCCTGTAACCGACACTAACTTTACAGGAAACCGTCGTTAAATAAATATTTCATAAATACATTAAAATGTTTAGCAACGGCTCTAACCATCACTAAAAGCTACTACCCGTTGGTTTGTCCATATCCTTTTTTATTGTGAATCATGTGACTTGCATTAATCAGAAATTGATATTACATTTTCCAACAATAACATTGTTCAACTAGAAAAACATGAGGCCTATCATGCCAAAGAACTGACTCATGTAGTAATGTATTTTCCGAATGCGCCATAATGTGTTGCCAATGGCATGAGGTCATATGTTTGGTACTTGCCAATGGAGATATAACTCCCGATACCTTCTCCCATTCCGCCAAGAATATGCTGCATATTGTCATTGCATATATGATAACGGTCTCAGTCCGGATTTCCATTGCTTCATTCAACTATTTATGGATCAAAGCCATGCACTCCGACTTCAAAATCACGATCCATGCCCATTTTTACGCCACATTCCACAATTACACTCTTTAATTGGACCTTAAAATATACATGCATGCCAACAACATAATACAAACACCAATCTAATACAAACCCCTCGGCCAATGGTCAAATCACCACATGGCTAATTATTTTTGCATACGATTAGCACACCCAAACCTATTCTTTTATGAATAATTAACACAAAAAATCATCAAAGTGCCAATTATCTTCGATTTATAACTCTCTTATTCATAACTAATCACAAGGAAACGTAGGGACACACCGCTCATATGATCTTAGTGACATTAGATTCCACAGTATGCATGCAAAGCAGAGGTTGCTCTTCGGCCTGCTTCAGTGTGGTAGAAGGAAAGAAATTCCGCATGATCATAGGGCTTGAACAATAATGGGTGTTGTTCGTCAACCAGTTCTTCCGGGGCTTTGATCATATGGCCAACTTTAGGTACTGAGAACAAACCCAAAGAGTATCTGACCTCATTTCCAGTCATCATAATTCGATGATACGGTGAATGCAGTCGGCCGTTCAACCAAGCCTGCCAAAACAAAATTATTGTCAAAATCTTTCGTTATCGACTCTGTAAATTTTTTGGCCACCAACTTTGTGGTCTCTAAAAGGACGATTGTTTTGCTGTACTATGGAGAATATAACTTACGTTGAGAGCTTCACCAATTATAACGATGAAAGAGGTTGGACTAGAAGGTTGGAATTTAATCCAGCTGCCATCTTTGGTTTGCACTTCCAGCCCCTCAACTTGATTCTGAAGCAATATGGTCACGGTATTCTTGTCTGTGTGGGAATTCATCCCAAGTTCAATATTATCAAGGTTGTTGGGACAGTTGTATTTCATGACCCGCAATAGGTAGTTTGTGGAGTCGAAGTGTTCATCCATGTATTTGTCAAGTCCAAAGCTTTCACCAATCATCGTCCTCACTATTTTGTCCAGTTTCGAAAGCTGCTCTGCGTATGAATGAATTGTTTTGCTGCAAAAAAAAAATAAAAAAATTGGCGACGAGGACATAATGATTGATATACTAAAATATGCCTCCAGTCACTTTTTCTTTTTTCGGTTTCTAGCGTCAAATATTCTCGTCACATACAAGACAATAATTAATGGGATTGTTGGCGAGAAAGAACGTCTATGACTATGAGTATCCAATCCTGATAAATATGATTGTCAAAATACAGGTATATCACTCGGTATAATTGGATTCAATTGATATTAGAAACAATTAATTAAAAGTCTATCGGTATGAAGTAGTATTCAAAATTGGTAACCCACTGACAAAGTCGGTTAAAATCGAGAAAATTAGTCGTCAAACCCGAATGAATAATTTTGCGACCTCTAAACAAATGACATCCTTTGGTGGGAACTAATTAAAAAAATAAAGGAACTTGTTGAAGTAAAGTATGAATATTTAGTTTCTTTACTTTATTAGATGGATTCAAGTATAAATGTTTGTATATTAATATATTAATAGTTACATTTAAATATGATGATTTTTCAATTAGTTTGCAATGTGCTAATTTATTTAAATATGAATGTGGATTATAGGGAGATTGTACTAAGATAGACTATACATGTGGAAAAATCATTTGGTGTTAATGATTTCCCACTTTGCTCACATGTTTTTTTTAAAATCGACATAAACTGACATATAACCCAGTTGTATTCCTATCGAAACATATTAGTACTGCCAAGCTGTTTAAGTCGGTTTGACAACCTTGCTGGTAATGCTTAATCTTCCTCTTTGGTCACCATTGAGTTTAGTTGTTATTAGTCCTGATTTATTGTGAACGTTAACAATGATGTTAATTTGTGCACAAAAATTTGTAAGAAAAGTATAAAATGGCCATGTCATTATCATTTTTAGAGTGTTTTTAGCTTCCATATATTTATTTGAAATTATACTTGCCAGAATTTCATATACTAATGATATCAACAAACATCATTACGAATGTGCTCACTAGTAATTAAGCTACATAAATATTACTCTCCCAAATAAAATAAGAGGACAATGTGTAGAAATAGTGATTACCAGAAACTTGGGTTTCCTTGAGGCCACAACTTTTTGGTAAAGGTTTCAACCCTTTCTGAAACATCGGCATCATCTATCCCCAAGCTTTCATACAACTGGAGCCCAGGAACTTGCCCTATATAGCCGTAAAACGGTTTCTCGGACACATTCCGCAGTTTGGTCTCCAGAGGCAACTCGAAAAGCTCTTTCATTGTTCCGAAAATGGCACTTCGAGCGTGGGACGGAATGTCGTCATAGGACGCCTCGAAGCAGCCATACTCTTGGAGCGCCTCGCGAACTTGGGATCTAAGGGTTTCCCACTCGGGACTACCTTGTGTCATGACTTCTGGCTTTGAGAAGTCTAAGAAGAGCAGCTTGGGAGAAAAAGATTCTGAACCCATTCTTTGTGTTGGATAAGCTTTGCGCAATATTTTGATTAAGCGTTGCCTAGCTAGCTATAATTGCAAGTTGGCTTTTGGGCCACTTTTCCCGGCCAATATATATAGCTCCTGTGAATGTGTCATATCTCAAATGCATAGAAAAGGACGACCGACGGCAAACACGGAGAAAAAATATGCATCTTAAATCTTATCTTAAAATATATTAAAAGGGTTTGAGATTTTAACCCACTCCACGTAAGCCTTAAACGATTTTTATGCATCCACGTCACTAGGCTTTAAATTTTAAACCTTTCTCTCTCTCCTAAAAATCGTTCCCAACATGTCCCCTTCCTCTATAAAACTCCTAATAAGCCGCCTTATTTTTGTATTTTTAATTTTGATATTGAATTTTTTATTATTTTGTGATAAATAGATACGTTAATAATAATTGTATAAAATTGTGGTAGTAGAGCATGACATAATATTTTATTTATCCAATTTTAACCCAAAAAGCTAGCCTATTTAATTAAAAAAATTATAAAGGAAGACTAATAAAAGCCAGAAAATAAGAATAATTATTCACTAAAATCCCTTTCACAAAATGAAAAATATCATGTTAGATAAAAAGGGAAATCAACTAAAATAAAAATACCCCTTATTAATATTATTCAAAAACATATTCCCATTAAACCATAACTCAATTATGTCAAATAATCTCATATAAATCAAGTTAAAAGAGACACCAAATTCGATGACCAAAACCTTCAAATCAACTATCACAAAAACCTAAAAAAGCTAAAAGATGTAAAAAATGAAATTTATTTATTTTAAATCATTTGATCATGTGTCTCAAAGGGACAATTATTTGAAATGATAAAATGTAATGAAACCGGCCATCCGGCCGAGCACAAAGCTAGTATACTAACAAAGGAATATATCGCGGCGAAAGCATGAAGACAAAAAAACAGAGTAGTCAAATCAAAGGCGATAGGAAAAAAGGATGAGGAAAAAAAGAGGCACAAGGCTGAAGCCAATATACAGGTGGATGCAGCTCCCACAATAAACAAGATCATAATCATCCAATAATTTTTTGCAAAAATGCAGCACACCCATTCTGTAATGTATTAGCACACAATGTTTCAAAAGTGAAGCTTCCCAAAACATAGAATTCACAATTACAAATTCTTTACTAGTGGTGTCCCCAAATGATATAGTGGGCTAGTTTGACCTTGTAAAAGCCGCTTCGGACTGGAATTTTAGAAAAGTACTTAAAAAAATAGTTGAGTGTTTGGCAGAAAAATTATTAGAAGTACTTTTTAATATTAGAGGTTGAATAAAATGACTATAAAACATTAATAACATAAAATATGAAAAATAATCCTAAACAATAAAAAAATAATAAAAAAGGATCTTGTTAGATTTCTTTTATATTAAATTATATATTTTATTTCATTTTTAAAATTATATAAATGAATAACATTATATTTTCTGGAAAAAAAATTAAAATATAGAAAAGATAATCTTGTATTTTCAAAACAGTTTGGAGCTTCTGCTTTTATTTTCTACAAAAGCGTTTTTCAGCTTTTCAAAAGCCGAGTTTTTAGAGGTGTTTTTCCCTGATTTAGCTTTTGAAGCCGAAAAACACTTCTAAAAGTTGGGCCAAACATAGGCAGCAAGTGATTATCGATTCCTTTACGTACCCATCCTAAAGTTTGGCAGTTAGCCACAAACTTTGTTACATGTCACATCAATTTGAACATAAACTGTTAGAATATTATAGTAACTCATTCTGATTTCTCCTCTTTAGATCAATCTAACACATCTTTGCTTTTGGGTTCCTTCTCAAAACACCTCGTCCTAATTGGACTATGTGGACACTAATATACTAGATTCTCTTCTCTTGTATTTTCGATGTGGTACTTGGATTGTCCCACAACAATCCTCCCCTCAAGACAAAGACCACAAATTTCGTGTCCTCTACTCACAGATTATTTTGATCTACCAGACAACTTGTATCGCAAAATTTACTCGACATAAGGATTTACTAAATGTATATCTCACTTAATATGTCAGACATGCGCGAATCTCTCATGGATCCGCAAAACAAACGCAGATATTAAATCACGAGGCCAATGGAATGAGGGTTCCACCAACTAACGTCCACCGCCTCTAATCCAAACCGACTAGACACTGATACCACTTGTCGAAATCGGATAGTACCATTTGTACAAATTGTCCGCATTGGACCAAGCCTGGAAGGATTTACTTTTTGGTTCCTTCCTAAAAGGCCTCATACTAATTAGGCTAGGTGGGCACTAATATGTAAGAGTCCATTCCTTTGTATTTTTTTATATGGTACTTAGATTGCCCCACAACCAGTAAGTATCACCTCCATACAAGTAAACAACTTGACTTGGTTTATCTACAATAGATTTTACAATTGTGCAAAGCCATAAAGGTTCAGTATAACCAAAAGCATTTGATCCTACTTCGACCAAGTCACAAATAGTCAAACCCATCAAAGCTCATAGACTAACCTCAATCGAATCAACCTAGAGTTACAATAATCAATTTCTTAGCAAAGTTGGAGTAGTGCATTAGGCCATCACTACAAATATATCAAAAACATTATTAGAGGGTCAGCCAAGAAATGATGCAAGAAGAACAATGGCAGTAACATTGATACAATGCAATCCTAGGGAAGACAACTAGGTAGCCAGTGCTATGAGGCATTAAAGGATCGATACTTGATCGTCGATGTAGTGCAGGCCAAATTTACCTGGCCCTAAGGCCAGGATCGTATTTCCCTAGGCCTTTTCGCAGAACCCTTACTTTGGAAGAGAGTTACATTTCTATTAAAGAAGAGATCTCTAGATACCTATTTATAGGCCTTTGATTAGGGTTTCTGGGTAAATAACTTTGCAGCTCCAATGTCATTCAGCCAATCAGAGAGCTCCAAGTACATGACCAGTGAATCAGGATGCTCCAAGAGCTCTGTAAAAAGGAGGAAGGGGCCCTTTTATTCCTTAAAATGGTTCTTCGAGCGTCGTTTCTACAAGCCATCCACTAGTATATTTTGATTTGAAAATGCAAAAAAAGCTACAAAAAGCTTATCAATCCTATAAAAGGAGCGCTGGGGTTTATAGAACACACTTGAAGCAATCATAGCACAAATCCAAAGTATTATGACGATAATGATAAAAAAAAATGTATGCAATTTGGGTCACAATAAGGGGCTCTAGAATAGATATTTTTACGTGTCATCAAATAACCCCACAATTGAACTTTGCTTGTCCCCAAGCAAACCTAATCTCAACATCCTTCTCCTAGCCCTCGACAATGACACGCAACTTTCATGTACTACTACTCATCTCTTACATATGATCTAGTCAAATGTTTTTAGTTGATTTTTAAGATATAATCACACATGCAATAATAAAAACCCAGTACAAATGGATGTCATCTTCACCCTAGGTGAAAATATCTTGTCAAAGTCAATGCCTTTCCTTTGACTGAAACCTTTTACGACTAGTCTTGCTTTGAAGCATGGATGACAGTTGTGTTCATCATACTTGATCTTGAACACCCACTTGTTCTTCAAAGCTCTCTTTCCTTTCGACAACTTCACCAGCTCAAAATTTGTGTTCTCATGCAAGGAATCCATCACATCTTGCATCCCTTCTGTCCACTTTTCCTTATGTTCATCATGCATAGCTTATGCGAAGCTCTCTGGTTCTCTCCCATTAGTTAATGAGGCGTATTCAGTCTCGGGATATCTAGTAGGGGGTCGTCAAACTCTACCATATCTTGTAGTTCTAACAATAGAACCCTCTACACCTGGTGGTTGACCATCATCATCAGCATCTTCTGGTTGAACCTCCACAGGGGCATCTGGTTCAACTATTTCAGGCTGATCATGTTGCACATCTTCTCCAGCTTCTGTAGATGCAGGCATTGGAGGCACTAGCTCAAGGTTTGGTTAGCTAGCATTAGTAGTAGGAGCTTCTTTCCTAGCAATATCTTCGGTGATCTCATTCTCGATGAACACAACATCACGAGATTCGATAAGCTTCTTCTGGATTGAATCATAAAATCTATATCCAAAAGTTTGTGGTAGCTTTGAGTGAGATAACAAGCACCTGACTCTCTCTATCAGGGTTTTGTTCATCCTCTCAGCTAGACCATGCAGTTGCGGTGTTTTTGGTGGAGTAAACTGCTGCCGAATTTCATGCTCCTTGCATAAGGTAGCAAACAAACCTTTGTACTCTCCACCATTGTCGGTGCGGATGCACTTCAGTTTCTTGCCAGATTCTCTCTCCACCAAGGCCAGGAATTGCTTGAAAATGTCTAGGGCCTGGTTCTTGGTCTTCATGGTATACACCCAGGTCTTCCGTGAATGGTCATCAATGAATGTCACAAAATATCTGGCACCTCCAAGTCATTTGATGTTGACATCGGGTTCATAGAGATCTGAGTGAACTAAATCGACCACGTTCTTCTATCTTGAAGAGATGAAACTTTTGAAAGCAACTCGGATTTGCTTTCCCGCCAGGAAATCAACACACTTCCTTAGATGAACATGATCCAACCTATCTATGACTTTCTTTTGGGCCAACTTTGCCATGGACTTCTCACTCATGTGACTGAGCCCTTTGTGCCGCAATTCAATTGTGTCGCCATTCTCCACTGAGTTGACAATCTCTGGGGAGATCTCAACTTCCGTCACATACAACTTTGACAACTTCTTGCCCTTGGCCACTACCAAGGAGCATCTAGTGAGTTTCCATTTGCCATTATGGAAGGTGTTACAGTAACCTTCATCATCCAACTTGTCTACAAAGATGAGATTCAGGCTCATTTCTGGAACATGCCTGACATCTTTCAACAACAGCTTTGTACCATTCATTGTCTCCAAGCAGACTTCTCCTTTTCCAATAACTTTGGAAAGGTTACCATTTCCCATTCTTACCACACCATAGACACCTGGTGTGTAAGACGAGAAAAATCTCTCTTGGTTGTCACATGAATGGTTCTGCCACTATCAACCACCTAGCTTGTCTCCTAGGTTGTCAAATTGACTGCATCTTCTTCATATACAAGATTGAAATTATAAACATAGTTTTCACCATCATCGTCACTGTTGTCATCTCGTTTTCCCTTCCTTCTCTCGTTTATGAATTTTGGGCAAAATCTTCTGATGTGACCCTTCTCCTTTCAGTGATGACAATGGACGTCAGTAAACTTGTTGGATTTCCCTTGACTCTTGCCTCTTTGCTTCGAGCCTCTCGCTTCACTTCTTCCTCTGCTTCTGGAATCCACCGCCAGAATTTCTGACTGGGAAGATGATGAAGATGCAACTTGTGATCTTTTTCGCATCTCTTCATTCTGGACTCCGCTTTTGACAACCTCCGTGATGATAACTCCATCTTTCGCAGAGTTGGTAAGTGAGATCTTCAGCGTGTCCCACAATTCTGGAAGGGAAGCCAGAACCAGGAGAGCGACAACCTCATCTTCCATCTTTATGCCCATACCAGACAACTGATCCACGATACCTTGAATTTTGTTCAAGTGATCCGCCAAGGATGTGCCTTCCTTGTATTTCATTTGCACCAACTTGGTTAGATAAAATAATTTGTTGTCGTTGGTCTTTGATGCATAAAGTGCCTCCAGCTTGTTCCACAGAGTTCTAGCATGAGTCTCTCAACTAATGTAGTTTTACACATTGTCATAGACGAACTGTAGAATGTAGTCGCATACTTGCTCATGCTTGAAATTCCATTCCTCATCAGTTTTGCCATCAGGTTTGGTAAGGCTGAACACCGTCAAATGAAACTCCGTCACCAGTAGGAGATCCTTCATCTTGTTTCTCCATATGTGATAGTTGGAGACATTGAGAATGACCATCTTGTTTGTTTTGTCTCCATTGAATGTGGCTCTGATACCACTTGTTGGGCGCAGCGGGTGAGAATAGAGGGTGAATATATTGAATTAAAAAATCACACGCTTGTTAATGCAGACCACAAACACTATAAAATAAATCATAAAACGCACACCAGGAACCTGCTAATGTAGAGCACAAATTGTGTTATACATATCATGGCCCTCACAAAGCAAATCACAAATATTTTATAAGCACGCCAGAAACCTCCTAATGAAAACCACAAACGAGATAAAAAAACCCACAAAAACCATACCAGAATCCTCCTAATGTAGATCACAAATCCTCTAAATCATACCAGAAACCCCACAAAGCAAACCACACAATTTTCAATAGCACACCAGAAACCTCATAATGCAAACCACAAACACGGCAAAGCAAAACACAAAATGAAACCAGAAACATCCTAATGCAGACAACAAATCTATTAAAAACTACGATATACTATTAAAGTGGTTGTAAAAGTAATTGGCT